CAGCTTTAAGCAAAAGCCAAAAAAAACCACCCAAAACTCACATGTCTATCTGTTCCTACTTAAAAACACAGGTTAAGTAGTTTTTAGAACCAGACTAAAGACAGTTTGTTTGTGTACAGGCAGGAAGAACAGTGAGACACTTAACGTGTTTAAAATATGACTGTAGAGGTGGCAACAGAGAGAGTTCTACCTTAATGTTACAGCTGTTTTAATAAAACATGGACAATATTTTAACTAAAGAGGATGTGATAGCTGAGGGGGTGGGGTGGGAAGAACATGATACTTTATGGAAAAAAAGTATTTTATATACAATATTCAATGCTGGAGTGTTCAAAAGACTAAAATACATAGCTCAAAATATTTACATGAGAATGCCTTCAACTGACTTGGCAATGACTTCTAATTTGGGTATAATTTTCACAATTGTAAAACACTGGCATGCACATACTGGTTAAAGGAAATATTAGGAGAGAGGTACTATTATAGTGTGACTGAAAAAGGGACTTTTAAATATTACCATTAAAAAAAAAAGAACATCAAAAAGCTATAAGCTTAAAATTTTCTTTTGTGCAATTAATGGATCATTAGATATTTTATTGCCTATTGCCTCTAATTTGCATATTAATAATGAAAAACATGTTGTATATAAGCATTAACCAGTACACATTGATAAAGAGATTGAATTCATTATGTACTCTCCATTATAAAGTCGTCCTGAGTTGTCAGTTACTAAGACCATCAGATTTTCTGCAAACTTGGTATAATTAGTGACAAATTTGTATGGTAAAGAAGTAATTCCATACATAGATGTCATTCTTCTCCCATGAATTAATTTAAATGATAATTTCTAGCTGTCCAAATAAGATACTAGGCACTTTCCTAATAGAAGTATGGCTTTAATACTGCTTTTGACTAGCTGATCAACACAATTTTATGACATTGCACATACATTTAATAATACAGGAATTCCTTTTTAGGGAGGAACTTTCTGTAAGGAAAAACATAGTAATGACAAGTTAAGAAATCAGCCTGCTTATTCTTGTCAGCTCATAGGCAAAAATAATGCTAGCTTTGATAGCAAATTGTACACAAAAATAATGAAAACAAATACATCAGAAAGTACTTGGGGATATGGATGGCTGATTTTGTTGGTCTTGTTAGCACATGATTTAAGCAGTTTTATAGATTCTCTCTATTTGCCTACATGGAAATAATTTTTTAGATTCCTTGTTGAAAGGAAAAATACTGTTGCTCCAAAAGCATGATCCTAGTTTTTATTCTATTCTATTTTGCTTCATTTTTGTAGAATACTGAATATGTCTCTGGAGAGATGAGATCAAAAAGCCTCAAGCACACAGGAGAGCTCTGGTAGCATAATAACTAACTGCACAGCAGCTGAACACTGTAAGCACTGGTTACTGAGTACTGTTAACACATCACAGCAAACAAGGTCAATAAACTTAAACTATGTGGAAAAGGCCACATTTTTCAACAGGAATATGAGTAGACCACAGAAGTGCTCTGAGTTACCCAGCTGTTAGGTGCTTCCAGAATAAACCATTAAAATTTGATCATATTTCATGTCTAAAACCAAGAAATGTCTGATAGCTTTATGACAAATAAAGGGGGAAGGGTTAAAAGGTCTAATATATAGCCCTGCTACAAGACACTGCAGTGGTGTACATGGTTTATGCCCTCACACACGAGCCAGGTCACTTGCTAAATTCTTAGGTAAATCTCCACTCACAAGAGTGAAGCTAACAGAACTAAATATGAGCATAATAGAGCAAAAGTTAGCCATCCCTCCCTTAAACAATAAAGGAAAGAGGGTTTTGCTTTTCTGGCTGATTTTCCACTGAAGCTTATTGAATAATGGTCATATTTTCTACCTTGCTGACTGAGCTGAGGGGCTAAACCTCCTAGTGACTGCTGGTGATAGGCAGTCAGAACATGTAACATTTTGAACTGCTCCACACAGAGTCATTAAGGAACATCTGCCTATGTTGCTGCTTCTGGAAGAGGAACATGCTTCCCTTTGACATTTCTTTCCCCTTAAGGGAAAAAAGGATTTGCAAGTGCATTTTACCAGCAATTAACTTTTCCTTGCATCAGCACTCTCTTCCTCTGTTACAACTCACAGTACCCAACATATATACATAAAATTTTTGCCAGACTACTTTGAGAATAACTGTTTTCTCTCATTTAAAAAAACCCCTCCATTGGTATTCAGGAATTTGTTTCTAAGAAGGAAACAGAACTAGTTTGTGGCTTAGGTAGCTCTCTGATCACCAGGTACTGTCGCCTTTCTAGGTACTCATATTAGGCTTGATTTCAGAATTGCAGTCCAGAACAGCAGGTTTGGTTTGAGCCCCACTGGCAGAGGTTTGAAAAGAAGCCTGAATAACACGGATATCTGTGGTGTATCCAGTTCCTGTCAGCCCTGTCCAAACTGCCTCTGTTAATGAAAGCTGATCCTCAACACTGTACTTCAAGAGCTCATTTGAATTTCTCATCCTATTTCAAGTAAAAAGGAGTATGCTGAGATACCATAAGAACATGAAAATCCCTTAATAGCCAGGAGATGTTACAAATCCGTAACTTGAGGCAGCAGGGAGTGACACCCCAAGTCTTATAAAAGTCACCATGCATCTTAAACTCCACATCATTGCTAAACAGATACAGAGAATTTGGAAGCATGAAACAGCATGCCATGGGTCCAGTGTCTGATGGAGAAGTTTGAACGTCATTATTGGTATTACTTAATAACTACTACAAAGTCAAGAATTGTACTACAATCAAATACAATACAAATACAGCCATTTCAAGAGAAGTGAGCTGCAAAAAACTAGTAGTCTGTGGCTCAAAGCAAACAAAATATTGCTAAAGGTTTGTATTTTTTGCAGCTACAGCCAAAAATGTGGAGAACAGAAAAAATCCATGAGGATTGGTATGAAAGCTTCCTATATTCTACCTCTACAAAACCAGAAATAGCAGGGCAGTAGAATGGGAACAGCTGTCAGACTCTCTGCCCAAATTTGCTGTTGGGATTCCCTGGATCCCTGTATTCCCCTAACCAACACCTTAAGACATCATCAGCACTACATGCAAGGACAGGAACTCATCACCTCACCCAGTTTGGTTCCTGTTGATACCTTTACACACTTATTCTTTGCTTTTGAGAGGAGGCCCCTAGTGACTATATAACAAAGAGTATGGAAGTCAAGATCTATATCTTATACCTAATTTACATATTTTGTACTCATTAACAAAGAGTATGGAAGTCAAGATCTATATCTTATACCTAATTTATATATTTTGTACTCAGCTGGCACAACACTGAGTGGATGAATAATGAGATCGTTATCTCCTCATCAATGAAAATCTACAGTCACTGAGACAGGAAGTTGCAGCTGTGCAACAACACAGCGCTATTGCATACTGAGTTAGAAACAAAAAGGAAAGTACTATGGGCCATTTAAATTTAGAAGGGATTTTATTATAATCATTCAGACTGTAATATAACCAAGAAAACAAGAGCTTTAAAAGCGAGCTCTCAAAATTCCTAGGCCAAAAATTACTATAACAAATTTCCCATATAGCCATTTTTCAGTTGATCTGGTTGGTGTCAGATTTTGCTTCTTACTGGCTTGCTGTTGGCACTGCATTAGTCTACACAGAATTCAGAAGGGAAAGCATGTGATTTAAATTCCAGTTGTGCCATGAATTCTCTGTAATTGTAGTGTTATTGCAGAGAAAATTGCTTCTTAAAAGCCACATTCCAAAACAGAATTATTTGCTTTCCAGAAGTATTTTTTTGATCTTCAGGTATAACTCATCTTTATTTCAGATAAATGAAAAGCATCTAGAGGGGAAATTCTATCAAAACTAAAGAAATCAACCCACACACATTTTAAAAGTAGAAATTTAGCAAAAGACATCTGAAAAAATGACTGCAATAAAATTATGCAATGTATAAGCAAAAGTAAGGATTTTATTGTGCACAAATTCTATTAAACATACAAAGAACCTGTAAAGTAAGTACTGGTATAGTACAGAAGGTATAATACAGGAAGTATATGTAATTAGTCAGCTCTTGTTTATGTATTGATGCAGATGATGTACACTATCACATAGAGTTATTATGAGAATGATAGCACTCTAACTAGTAAGCCATTCTCATTTGAACATCTAAATGACTTCTTATTCTTTGACCTGTATTTTAAGTCAATGTTTTTTCATTTCATGCCAATAAGTCTCTATTAATTGCAGCGAGGTTACAGACCATGTAAAAGCTGCACTAGTAAACAAGGGTAGTAAATAGGTTTTCCTCACTGACAAAGATGCAGCATAAGAATAGGTTAATAGATAGTTGCTATTTCCTACATATTTACATCTACATTTCTTAACACGGTGTGGAAAATATCAAATAGTTCACTATTGACTAAAACTTTAAAGTACAATATACCAGGTAATTTAGTCCTGTCTCTTCTCCAACTCCTTTTACAAACGTCATTTAAAGTAGCTCTTATGCACATCAGGAACAATTAGAGTACAATAGTCAGAGTACTATTGTACCGTAGTACCACGCGTTGGCTGCAGCTTTGCAACAATATTACTTGAGAACCTATAAAACTCGAATTACTTGCAGTCTTGGTAATTCTAGAAGCAAAGCGGATACTATCAATCCCTGTGAACAGCTCCCAGACAAACCCCGCGTCTTCGCGGAGCTCCTCCCGTTATGGTCGCACGGTAACCAGAGCAGGGCAGTGCAGGCGTCCCCCGGCTGCCACAAAGGCAGCCCCTAAGGACGGGCTGCAGCCCCGCGGGGCAACTCTGTGCAGGGAAGTTTGTGCACAGCGACGTTCTCGGCAACAGCCTAAGAAGAGAGGACCCGTTTCCCTTCCCTCCTCTCAGACAGGGGCACCAGAGGAGACAATTCCCTGACACCCCCGGCCAGGACAGCCTCACCTCCCTGGAAAGTCCGCAACAGCGCGACTTACCTTAGTGAGCTGGGCAATCTTCTTGCACATTTTCACGTGCATTTCCCGATTGCATTCCTCTGCCGAGCTGCTGCGAGCGGCTTTAGATCCATTGCAAGTCCCGGGCTGATGAATGTTGTTTATGCCAGAGGCCATTAGGCTTGAATTTTAATCACGTCTGTCTGCGTACGCTCCGGGTAGCGCGATCCCGGCCCCGCTGTTCCCCCCGCCCGGGGCTGAGCGCACTCACAGCCCCCGGCCTGGAGGAGCCCCAGCCCTGACCAGGGCACGCTCCAGCCGCCGCCGCTCCCCCTCCTCTGCAGATGTCCCAGTCCTTCAGCACAACACCCAGGCGAGCAAGCAGAGAACAGCATGTGCAAGCGTCCTGATTGGGATTTTTTTCCCTCCCCTTCTCTTCAAATGGTTGAGCTTCCGCCAGGAGAAGACGCCTGCGGCTGGGTGCTACAAATTCCCCGCTGGAGACGCTGAGCCAGCCTAGAGGCAGTAGCACAGACATTGCCGGGGATCTGTTGTAGTAGAGATTGCCTGAGATCAGATCATGCTGCCTTCTTAAGTGTCAAAGGACTGCAGAGGTCATCTGAGAAGAGAGTGTTGGCACCTTTCATATGCTCTGTTATTTTGGCAATCCTCTCTAAACCACGATGGGCCCATAGGTGATGAAGAAAACCTTGCTCAGCTTTTGCTGCTGTGTTGAAAGCAGAATGGGAGCCAAAGGGGGGCCCACGAGCACAGCTGAGCCCAGGAGCGGTGTCCAGGATCCGGTCTGCCTGCCTTATCCAAGGAGACTCTGTGCCCTTCAGTTGTATTAAATGCACTGGAAAGGTGCCTGAAGAAAACTGACAATATTACAGGTCTTTGTTTATTTATTTTTTTAAATGTGCACACTGTTTCAAAGAGATCAGGCTTGGACATGTAAAATAAGTAAAGGGACAGAAAAGGCAGAAAAATACATACACAAAAAAGGGCAAGCTATTAATAGGATTTTTTAAAGAGAATGCTACAGTGAAGTGTAATGCAAGAAGAAAACTTGGTGAACACGTTTAAACAAGTCTAGAAGAGAAGAAGTAGGAGAAGGCCAAGTAGGGTGAAGTAAGAGAGGTAGAAAAGAGGAAAAAGAAGAAAGAACAGATGAGGGAAGCCAAGAGCTGTCCAACACCCCTCTGATGTGTCACTGCACAAGAGACCCCATGGAAATGCTGGGGACTCTACCTCAGGCCCTGCAGCCAGAGGGATCAAGAGGCTGCTTCTGCCCTGCTGCCTCTGCCTGGAAAGGCAGGCAGCTTTCCAGTCTGATCTCCTGCAGTTCTTGCCATCTTCTTGGGTGAGAAGCTCCCACTTTGCTAGTGGTGGGTTTAAAAAAAAAGAGCTTCCTGAGGACTATTAGAATTGAGGAGGAAGATTATCTGGTGTCAGTTAATGGTAGGGCAGAAGAAAAACAGAAAAACCTTGGTGAGGACAAAGAGAGACAAAGAATTGTTAACACTCCTAAATTGAAAAGATCAGGGCAGAAGAATACCTACAAGGCAGTGGGGAGAAGGAACACTGTGAAGATGTAAGAAGATAAGACCTTGGGACAGGGAAAACAGCCCCTTGACTGCCAGGAGAAAAGGAGAGACTCTGAATCTCCAGAGGCTGAAAGAATCTTCACTCCAGGAATGAGAGGAAATGAAGACTGAGAAAAGCAATGTATGAATGAAAATTATCACAGTTGCTGAGAGATGCTAAGCAGAGGAATGATGTTTAGCCCAGAAAGAACATTGATAAGAAAAGGTGAGAAATAGATCCTTGCACAAAGGAATGACAAAGTACAGTTTCTTTATTCACTGTCACCAGTGTCCAAGACACTGCTGGAACTTCTCCTGTGACTAGGACATAGGGACATGCCACTGCTAATTGTCTGATATCTGCTAAGACATGTACTCACACATAAGTTTAACTCAGTTAATATTTTATAATACCTTCTCTATCTGGTCATCAATTTGAGAAAAAGCCTAGGAATTTAATTAAATGTAAGATTTTTATTAAATTGACAATCTTATTAGGACAATCAAGAGAAGAGCAAGGACTGGAGCAAAGTCCTAACACATTGTTTCCTCAGAAAAAAATAGAACAAACTAAGTGAAAATAGAAAGCAAATTAAGAAAATTGCAAAAGGTTTTATAAGTACTTACAAGAAGTTACCTGTGTTATCACACAGGTGGACAGTAACATTTATGGTTGTTCTATTAAACACTGGACCTGGATGCAGGGGTAGATAGAGACTTGAGACACCTATATGGGCAGAGCAGAGAAGCACAGATCTTCAGATATATTGGGAAAGGAATAAACTACTGAGATATCTTCAAGCAGGCTGTTTATGAATTTTGGGGCATTAGAGGGAAAGAACTTGAGACTTTGGTACAAGATGGTGTTTTAACAGAACATGATGGTGTTTAACAGAACAAGATGGTGTTTTAGCAGAACATAATTTGTCACTGGTGAAGCATTCTCAGTCCAGACAAGACTTCTCAGGCAATACTTCAAACCCTGGAAAAGTTTCAGTCAGATCTCATGCACCAGAAAATGCAACAACAGAAAATAAATTCACAGGTGACTAAAGTTCATTAGTTTCACTACTCAAAAAACCCAACATAGTATCAAGAACAGAATTTCAGCAGATAATGCCAGAATGTTTCAATGAGCATTTAATTTTTTGGGTTTTTTTTTTTCCCCTTGTAACTGATCTAGGAATCACCTATAAATAAGAAGACAAAAGAAGGATGTCACAAAGCATAATCTAAATGTGTACTATACAAATATGGATTTTGTGAGAATCATATGGAACACAAGTAAATTACAAAATGTGTCTGAACTTGGGGCAGTAGATAGAAAAACCAGTTTAAAGTAAAAATCAAAAATCTAACCAGGAAATGCATACGCTTCTTGAATTATTATTGCTGCATTAATTTTTGGTAAAAAAAAATTGTGAGAGAAGGTGGTCATGTCAATACAGTTTTTATAAGTCTTTGATTAACTGTACACAGGTTTGTAGCTTTGCTGTTCTAATTTCCTTTCTGAAAAAAAAAAAACAACTCAAAAACATACATGAGCAAAAGAACTATAAGCCTTCCATTTTTCATACCTCCTGCTTGTTGAACACTCAGACTACATTACTTCTGCAATCTCCTGACTAGCTACTAGTTACTGTTAAAAGAGCCATACCCTCAAATCCAAGACATAAAAAAATATATTTCTGTTGCCAATGTTTAATACATAAGTTTTCACCTTTAACACATTGCAGACAGCTTTCCTAAAACACAATTAAAAAGCCCAATTCTTTCACTCTTTGCCTTTGAAAACGGTAGACCAAGAGTTAGTCATTATCTGTCATGCTGTGTCAGAGCTGACAGCATGGGGCCCTGGGTGCCCTGAGCTGGTGGGTGGCATCCTGCCCACGGCAGAGCTGGGGTGGCAGCAGGAATTAGATGATCTTCAAGGTCCCTGCCAATCCAAAACTTCCTGTGATTCTATGTTTCAAATAAAAAAGCTGTATTACTAAAACTTACTTAAAACCTCTCAACTTAGTGTGTCAGTAAAGGAAGATACACCCTCGAGATTCTAATTCCTAAATCACTACCCTCATTTTTGATCTCCATTTACATTCACTTTGGTACTAGAGTAGCTTTTTGACCCCAGAACAAAGAATTCAGGAACCATTTTCTCTTTTTTTGACAAAGATTTTATCTCTTTGAAATAAAAGGGAAATAAGAATAAAAATAACAGTCAGAAGACTCATAAAAGTTATGCTGCTCATCTAATTCACTATTCTATTTCCAATAAAACTTGTTTTGGGATTGAGTTAAAGAAAAATGACAAATATAAAGTGTTGCCACGGATGCATTTGGGGTAATTACCCATGTTATACATAATTACATATAAAAATATTATATATACTTTATATTTTTATACTTTAATATATACTTTATATTTTTTATTTTTCCCCACCTCATAAAACAAACAGGGTTCCAAAAACAGCAGGACAGCTACCGATTTCCTCATTGACGGAAAACATTAACTATTCAAAAATGTATGTGCAATTTTATAGTTTACTTTCATATATACAAGTTTTGGAGGAATGTGGTGGACACAAGCTCAGATTCTATTGCATAATGAAGGCTTGATTATGGATGAAGCATTACTATGTTTATGTTTTAAATATGGAAACTGGAACCAACCAGACACATCAGATATAAAAGCCCTTGAACATCTAACAGGATAGCATCAACTTCCATTTTTTGCTACTTCCATTTTTTATCCAATGACCTACATTTGATATTACCACAAAGTAATTGGCATGCAGCAAGTTTGGCTTACCCTGTGGCACTGTATTTGCTCACATAACAGGACCAACAAAGCAAAGAGAAAGGATCTAGAACAGTGAGTCATGAGAATTAGATAATGGCAGATAAGGTCGCTTCTTCAAAGGACAAGAAAAAAAGCTGGAATTAATAGAGTGCAATTACCCTCCAGGGCCCAGAGCACCATTCAAGGTTCAGAATTTCATCATTCTTTGCTGGATAGAACTGTGAAATCCCACTGGCTATAACATCTGAGGCTTCATTACATCCTTGCCCTCCCAGTCAGTCATTATATCCACCCCTCAGGAAGCAGCTGGTCCTCACTGAGCCCCTGCAGTTAGCTCAGCGAGGAACTGAAGGTGCCGGGCAGAGCTGGAATGGATTCCTGGGCCCAAAGGCAAAGGCTGTGGCTTCAGGCATCACATGAAGCAGGGCAGGGCTTATTAAAGCTGATCAGTGCAGTCAAGGCTGCACTAAAGTAAGCTGTAAAAACTATGATGGCAACATTTCTGTCAGTTGAACAAGGTATCTGGTACCACAGAAACATGACCAACATTTGTGATCCTACTTCAGCACGTTATTTACCTACACATGAAATATCAATTTTACTGAGAATTTTCTATTTCTACCTGTAAATGCAAAGCCTAGCAGAAATATTTAAAGCAGTCTGCAAGAAATAAATCTCACATCCTAGATGAAACCTGTGGTAAGGGACTATGAGGTATTCTCCAGGGAAGGTCTTCTTCCATAGAACTGAGATGCAGGTAGGCACAACTGGGATGCTAAACATGTGAATCAAAAATCATTCAGTTTGCATTATGATTTAATTTAAAATAACTGTCCTGTGTTTTTAATGCCACAAGAATCACACAGGTTTATCTGCTCATCTTCCTGTTTGCATCTTCTTGTCCACAGACAGGGGCTCTATTGCAGAAAAAGAAAAAATCTATATGAAGGTAATTATCCAGTAAAAATACATTAAATAGAAAGATTGTTACACATTGTATTTCCCCACAAAATTTAACCTTAAAAAAATGTTCAAGTCATTGATGATTTGCAGTTGATTATAGTGGTTTTGTAGAGTGATTATTTCTCCAACATGAAAACTTTTATAAAAAATGTTAACATGTAAGATTCTATGTTACTGTTTGTGCACATAGAACCAATTTCCTACTCTCTAGGAGCAGAAGGTGATTAGGCCTGATCCGTATATTTTAGAAATTAATAAAAACATAAAATTCACGTTTAAAATGGAGGTATCTTTTTTAAACATACACAAATGCATGGTAGTATGATATGTCAGGGGAAAAAAGCCCTCTGCCATATATTTAAATTATTTTATGATTTATTTTAATCTATAAAAGAAAATACTTTGTCTCCAGCTGCTGCCTTCCATTCTTCCATTCTTCACATACAGCTCATATATATCCCATAATCCTTGA